TACCCGTTAATCTGATGATCTCGTTTCCTTTTCAGGACGACTCTGATTGACAACCAAATATAAAAAGACATAGTACTAAGTGGCCTATTTGTTGTAGTTCGGTTTGTCAATTTGGCACCTTTCAGAGAGTCCACATAGTAAATAATGTTTATTTCGTAATTAGGGTGTCAATTTGGTATCCTTTTTAGGGACCTTATTTAGGCAATAATGTGTATTTGGTATTTAGGTTTATCAATTCAGCATCCCTTCAGAGAGTCCACATAGCTAATAATGTCGTTTGATATTTAGGCTTGTAACATCGTCCTCAGAGCATTCAACTCGACATCCCCTTTGTATGTGGGTGTGTTACTTTGTAGGTGAATTTTGACATTTAGAAGATTATCCATAAAAGAAGATGGCATTAAGTTTGTCAATTCTATATTATTTTCAGAGAGTCGACATAGCTAACAATAGTTATTTGGTAAATTAAAATTTGTCAACTCAGAGAGTCCATATGGCCAATTGTGTCTGACGCGCAAAATTCGATCAAGGGAGATAACTGCAATTAAGCGTATTCGACCTTCAAGTTTCAAATGGCTTGTTTACAATCGAAACAAATTAGCTGTTTTGTCAGTTTACATTTTATTAGCGAATGTTATATTTATCGATTTTTCGAGCAAAGAATTAAAATTCAAAGACATTGTCACAATAATAGAATTATTTTAATTAATTTTTCCCATCACCAAAACTGATGTGGATTTTCAACAGATTCAATAGCCACTGTAGCCTCGGTCAATTACAAAGATATTAAGCAACCGGTCCAGGCAATCGTTCGTCGAAGCTGTACGAGTAACTGTATGATAGAGGCTACAAAGCTAATATAATTTGAGAGAGTAATATGTCGAGGGCTTACTGCCAGAATTGTTCCTGTCCAATTTAGGTCAAAATGGGTTATGTCTATAAAACTAATACATTTTATGATGCCTGTGTCGGCCAGAAACTAAACTCTAAGTCCTGTTGTAATTATTTATAGAGTTATTGACCTTTCAATATCGTTATGTTCAAATGTTCTAAAAATTTGTTATGCAAAGCTGTTTAAGTTTAGACATATCTGAAATGGTGAATATATATTTATCAATGAAAAATCCCAACAAAAATGATCAAAAATTGCTTCTCAATGACCGTTCTTTTTAACCCTAGGTTTTAATTTTTCTTTATTTATCTTTACAAGAAATGGTTATGTATCATCAAAACTTAAAGTCCATTTTTCTCAATACGACATTTTTGGACATAGCAATTTCTAGCTACAGCTGGGTATCGTCAATCATGCCACAATACGATACATATCGCGATACAAGGGTCACGATACGATACGTATCGCGATACAAGGATCACGATACGATACGTATCGCAATACAAGGGTCACGATACGATACATATCGCGATACAAGGGTCACAATACGATACATATCGCGATACAAGGGTCACGATACGATACATATTGTGATATGGGGTAATGGGATAAAAATTAACATTTTATCTTCAAAGTTTCAATATTTATTAATTCATATCTTTATAACTGTGATATTTGGTAATATAGTTGATAGAAGTGGTTAGTGTCCACTGTCTTATAAAAAGTTTCTATATATATTAATTTATAACTGTGGATATAGTTGATAGAAGTGGTTAGTGTCCACTGTCTTATACAAAGTTTCTATATATGTTAATTTATAACTGTGATATTTGGTAATATAGTTGATAGAACTGGTTAGTGTCAACTGTCTTATTCAAAGTTTTTATATATATTAATTTATAACTGTGGTATTTGGTAATATAGTTGATAGAAGTGATTAGTGTCCACTGTCTTATAAAAAGTTTCTATATATATTAATTTATAACTGTGATATTTGGTAATATAGTTGATAGAAGTGGTTAGTGTCCACTGTCTTATACAAAGTTTTTATATATATTAATTTATAACTGTGATATTTGGTAATATAGTTGATAGAAGTGATTAGTGTCCACTGTCTTATAAAAAGTTTCTATATATATTAATTTATAACTGTGGTATTGGTAATATAGTTGACAGAAGTGAATAGCGTCAACTGTCTTATAAAAAGTTTTTATATATATTAATTTATAACTGTGGTATTTGGTAATATAGTTGATAGAAGTGATTAGTGTCCACTGTCTTATAAAACGTTTCTATATATATTAATTTATAACTGTGATATTTGGTAATATAGTTGATAGAAGTGGTTAGTGTCAATTGTCTTATAAAAAGTTTCTATATATATTAATTTATAACTTTATAACTGTGATATTTGGTAATATAGTTGATAGAACTGGTTAGTGTCAACTGTCTTATAAAAAGTTTCTATATATATTAATTTATAACTTTATAACTGTGATATTTGGTAATATAGTTGATAGAAGTGATTAGTGTCCACTGTCTTTTAATAGTTTCTATATATATTAATTTATAACTGTGGTATTTGGTAATATAGTTGATAGAACTGGTTTGTGTCCACTGTCTTTTAATAGTTTCTATATATATTAATTCATAACTTTATAACTGTGATATTTGGTAATATAGTTGATAGAACTGGTTAGTGTCCACTGTCTTATAAAAAGTTTCTATATATATTAATTTATAACTTTATAACTGTGATATTTGGTAATATAGTTGATAGAAGTGGTTAGTGTCAACTGTCTTATACAAAGTTTCTATATATATTAATTTATAACTTTATAACTGTGGTATTTAGTAATATAGTTGATAGAAGTGGTTAACCTCCACTGTCTTATAAATAGTTTCTATATATATTAATTTATAACTTTATAACTGTGGTATTTGGTAATATAGTTGATAGAAGTGGTTAGCGTCCACTGTCTTATAAAAAGTTTCTATATATATTAATTTATAACTGTGATATTTGGTAATATAGTTGATAGAAGTGGTTAGTGTCCACTGTCTTATAAATAGTTTCTATATATATTAATTTATAACTTTATAACTGTGGTATTTGGTAATATAGTTGATAGAAGTGGTTAGTGTCTACTGTCTTATAAATAGTTTCTATATATATTAATTTATAACTTTATAACTGTTATATTAGGTACTATAGTTGATAGAAGTGGTTAGTGCCAACTGTCTTATAAATAGTGTCTATATATATTAATTTATAACTTTATAACTGTGGTATTTGGTAATATAGTTGATAGAAGTGGTTAGCGTCCACTGTCTTATACAAAGTTTCTATATATATTAATTTATAACTGTGATATTTGGTAATATAGTTGATAGAACTGGTTAGCGTCAACTGTCTTATAAATAGTTTCTATATATATTAATTTATAACTTTATAACTGTGGTATTTGGTAATATAGTTGATAGAAGTGGTTAGTGTCCACTGTCTTATAAAAAGTTTCTATATATATTAATTTATAACTGTGATATTTGGTAATATAGTTGATAGAACTGGTTAGTGTCCACTGTCTTATAAAAAGTTTCTACATATATTAATTTATAACTATGATATTTGGTAATATCGTTGATAGAAGTGGTTAGTGTCAATTGTCTTATAAAAAGTTTCTATATATATTAATTTATAACTTTATAACTGTGATATTTGGTAATATAGTTGATAGAACTGGTTAGTGTCAACTGTCTTATAAAAAGTTTCTATATATATTAATTTATAACTTTATAACTGTGATATTTGGTAATATAGTTGATAGAACTGGTTAGTGTCCACTGTCTTATAAAAAATTTCTATATATATTAATTTATAACTTTATAACTGTGATATTTGGTAATATAGTTGATAGAAGTGGTTAGTGTCCACTGTCTTATAAAAAGTTTCTATATATATTAATTTATAACTTTATAACTGTGATATTTGGTAATATAGTTGATAGAAGTGGTTAGTGTCAACTGTCTTATAGATAGTTTCTATATATATTAATTTATAACTTTATAACTGTGATATTTGGTAATATAGTTGATAGAAGTGGTTAGTGTCAACTGTCTTATAGATAGTTTCTATATATATTAATTTATAACTGTGATATTTGGTAATATAGTTGATAGAATTGGTTAGTGTCAACTGTCTTATACAAAGTTTCTATATATATTAATTTATAACTTTATAACTGTGGTATTTGGTAATATAGTTGATAGAAGTGGTTAGTGTCAACTGTCTTATAGATAGTTTCTATATATATTAATTTATAACTTTATAACTGTGATATTTGGTAATATAGTTGATAGAATTGGTTAGTGTCAACTGTCTTATAAAAAGTTTCTATATATATTAATTTATAACTTTATAACTGTGATATTTGGTAATATAGTTGATAGAAGTGGTTAGTGTCAACTGTCTTATAGATAGTTTCTATATATATTAATTTATAACTTTATAACTGTGATATTTGGTAATATAGTTGATAGAATTGGTTAGTGTCAACTGTCTTATAAAAAGTTTTCAGTGAAACTAATTGTTATATTATAAAACAACTAATAAAACTTCACACTTTCGTATAAAGTATCGATACACGACCTCACGATACGATTCACCGATATATCGTGCCAGAACTAATTCTGGCAGAAAGCCCTCGATAATCGGGGGGATCTTAACAATATCAAGGTATAACGAACTTCGTATTTTACGGACCTACTACCTTGATAAAGTTGTGTTTGTCAATTCCTTAGTAAATAATGTTCATTGGCATTTAAGTCGGTCAATTCGATATCATTTTTCAGAGAGTCCACAGAATTAATATAGTATAAGAGACTAATATAAAGTTTGAAAGTTAAAATGACGACTCGTCTTTTCTTGAGACTATGCAATATATAGAAAAGATATGATAAGAAATAGAAAGTGAAATTTCAAGTTTCATGTATTGTTGGAGAAATTATACTCTTGACATCCAGTTCTTGTATTTCTGAAGACTATTTACATTATTTATATTTATGGTCCTAATCAACACCCTAAAGTGGCGAAACATGGTCTTTAACAATGTTTATAAGGTTTGTCAGCTCGGTAAGAGTATAACTGACTGGAGAGTATAGCTGAATAGAGAGTGTTATAATGGAAGAATGAAGAAATCTTGTCTACCATTCTCCCTGCTAATTATTCTCTCTATTTCTTCATTTCCGTTCTCACAGATCTCTAAATCAGTCGAGAAGACATACATAATAATTACATAGTGGGAAGAAATTATTATCACTATCAAACCAAGAACTAATCATACAGCGGTGAATCAATGGGCGACACGATTAATGATTGAGAGATGAAACAAGATGAATGAATGAATTGATAAATGGATAGATGGATGGGAGGAGGGACTGATGAAAGGATCGATAGATGGATAGATGGGTGGATGGGTGAAGGGAGGAATTAAGGATAAATGAGGATATGGATTGTACGAAATGTATTATGGTGCATCAGTAACAAAAGTATATGGATGTTTTCAATAAGGAGAGAGATGTAGAATTACCACTGTTAAAATAGTGGTAAATACAACAACTGTAGAATGTTGTAGAAATACCACTGTTAAAATAGTATTCAATACATCAATTGTAGAGCTATATAGAAATACCACTGTTAAAATAGTGCTCAATACATCAATTATAGAGCGATATAGAAATACCACTGTTAAAATAGTATTCAATACATCAATTGTAGAGTGATATAGAAATACCACTGTTAAAATAGTGCTCAATACATCAATTGTAGAGCTATATTGAAATACCACTGTTAAAATAGTGCTCAATACATCAATTGTATAGCTATATAGAAATACCACTGTTAAAATAGTGCTCAATACATCAATTGTAGAGCTATATAGAAATACCACTGTTAAAATAGTGCTCAATACATCAATTGTAGAGTGATATAGAAATATTATAACAAAATGTTTCAGGTTCTGTTTTAAAATTTCTTCCAAATTAATGTATATAGTTAATCCTTCCCAATGTTTATATTTTCAGACAGTTTAATAATTCTGGTGTTCCTGACAATCTCCGCCTCGTCAGTTGCCATGGATTTAAGATCAGGGGTACTTAACAGAGACAAATGTCAAATTCAAGTAGTTCGCTTAACAATTCATCCGCCCGAGATATTTCAAGATCGGTGTGCTTCTGCTAGAGTGGTTAGTTTTGGTTGCAGAGGGCAGTGTCATTCATACAGTAAAATAGATAGGCACAACACCAGTCGAATCATGAGATCCTGCAAGTAAGTCTTTGTATATCTTGCGCGTAGTCAAGATTTGACCAAAACTTTGTCCCGTTTTT